TGCACTTGTATGGGGTTGGGAAGATATTCTCATCATGAGGTGTACGGGGAGTTGAATTATGGAGAAGGATTCATTGCAGACATTGAAGAAGAATTAAAGGAATTGGATTCCATAGTTAAACGACTGCATGTTGAATTAATAAGAGGACCAAGTGAAATTTTAAGTGCAGCGAATTCGTGCAAGAAATATTACGAACTTGCCAAATTTGCTGCAGAGGAGTGCATTCAAATCCGTGAAAAGATTAAGGTAACCATTAATAAGAAGATTTCTGTAACGGAAAATGTAGTCAGACATGAAATGAGAGTTAAACATCTGTTGGAAAGTGCAAACATTACTATACAAGAAGCCCAAGATGCCGCTGCAAAAGCCAAAGAAGCATTTGAAAACATTACGAAGCTGCACGAAGAGTATTGGGAGACCGCGGATGAGTTGTATGAAGACGCACGTGTGTTATATAATACTGCAGAGGAGTATTTAAGTGAAGTGAGGCAATCTGGAAGTGGTATGGTACTCGTAAAGGAAAAAGTGGTTAAACGCGCTGAGGAGATAATTGTTGAGTATACTGAGATTGTTAATCTTATTCTTTCTTTTATGAATTCCGTTTACAATACTGAGGATCTCGCAGAGAGAACCAAAAAAGAGGCGGTGGCAACGGAGGAAGTAGCGAAGAAACTTCAAAAATACATTCTAAGTGATCCTTCTGCGAAGAAAATACAGAAAACAGTGGAGCAGGAAAAAGAGAAGGAACAGATGGATGAAGAGAAAAAGAATGAGACTAAAAGGGTAAAAAACAAGAAAATGCGAAAAGGATAAGATAAAAAAAAAGAGAATTGACTATTCAAGAGACTTAGGAAAACATAAGAGCATAAAAAAAAAAAAAAACTTAAAGCATTACTACGAAAGAAGCGACACAGATAAAACAACGACACGGTGGAAGTGCAACAAAGTCAAGGGAAGAAAGTGAAGAGTGGAATGAGTACACAAAATGATCCTGTGAACACAGAATGGTCTAAGTAAGAGGAGAGTACAAACGCAGCAGAGAAAGCTACCGGAAAACAAGAAATGGCGACGAATAAAAACAGAAATTGCAGAACAATGTGTGAAGGAAAAAAGAAAGTTAAGATTTTTGACAAACGAAGGGAACAATTAAATAAAACTTCAGGTACTACACACCCCAAAGGGTT